CAGCCCAAGGCTTATTTTTGAATAGTCCAGCAAAGATTCAGTTTGTAATGCCAAATGGAGATGTTTCCATAGCTCAGAGGAGTTACCTGCTCAGGATCAGGACAGTGTTTGTATATCTGAGTTATGTAGAAGGAAAATCACATTGTTGCTTCTGCTCTAGATTTTGGAGGCAGCTGACAAGACCCAGGCCCTGGACATGAAGAGGCACTGCCTGCACATCATCGTCCACCAGTTCACCAAGGTTGGTTGCATCTTTTCTGGGGCTTTGGAGAGCTGCTGTCCTCTGTCACTGTCTTGGTTAAAGACACATTAATATAGCAATCAGTTTAATTGCTCCTCATGTGAGACAGCTGAGAGCTGGCTGTTGGTGACAGTGGCTGCCAGGCACACTGCTCACACTGGAAATAAGTGGAAGACTAGAACAGCCTAGTCTGGAAATGTGAAGACCTTCCAAACCAGAAGTTACCCAGAATTGCTTCCATTTCCACTTGTTCCAGCTGTTGATTTTGTGCCATGCCCTTGCTGGGTTTCTGTGTGTATGGCAGGGTAAGTTTGTTGCATTGTGGGCACAAATCTCTCCCTCACTAGTAGTTATCACATATTGTTATGCTCATATTTCTCTTGTGGTATTCTGTGTCATGCATGTTATATTCTCATATGCTCAGAAGCAGATTATCATGTCCTGGCTGGGCTTTCTGTGGTTTCCGTGTTCCGTGGTTGGACTTGATGGTCTTAGAGGTCCTTTCCAACCCTAACAATTCTGTGTTTTGATACGTGAGCATTAGTGGCAGCAAAGGTCAAGAGCCTGATGTGCTGATACTCCTGTGTCACTTGAGAGAATAAGGCTATTGTCATTTAGTTGTTCTGTGAGATGTGATCCTTCCCTGAGAGTTCCCCCGTGTCACCAGTTCATTGCACAACTCATTAGCATTGCTGAAACAGATAGATAAATCATAGGAATTGGGATTTCTGGATGCTACACACTTACTGATAGTAATTCCCTAGTTAGTATTCAAGTGACTCACTCTCTTTTATGTATTTAAACTCAAAATCCTCCTCCTGGGGAAGGACAGCGCTGCTACATCCTGTTAGTGTCTGGAGGAGAGACAGGGAGGTGTTCAGGCTCTTCATTAAATGCCTAAGCTGCAGAGCGTGACACATTGTACATTCAGAAACAGCTGAAAATGCATAAAAAGCTTTGAGAGTGCATCCAGCATCCAGGAATCACCCCCAGAGGAGAGTCCCCAGTGTGAGGCTACAGCCCCTGCCTTCATCCTGCCCTGTGGAGCAGCCCATTTGGGTAGGGATGGGGAACAGCCCCACTGTACAGGACACCCCTGGGCTGGGGCTCAGTGCCTTGCAGCCCCTGAGGGCTGAAATCTCATGGTCTCACTTGCCAGTGGAGGCCACAGGAAGACAAACAGGTTGGTGTGATTCTCCCAGGACATACTGGGGGTTGGACATTGTGACACTTGGAGACAGTGATGGGAGCTGGAGGGTGTTCCTAGCTGTCCTCCCTGCCCAGGATGTGGGGAAAGGGTTTATATTTAAACTGTTCACTGGTAGAACAGTTTTCATCAGAACATGGCTGGAAGACTGTCAAGCAGATGTGCACGAAGAAATCTCAATTATGCAATGTTTTCCCTCAGCCTGAGAGGCCTCAGTGTTTGGTTTTGGCCTGGGCTGGGTGCCTCGGTGTGGCTGGGCACGGACACTCTGCTCCTGGGCAGCCACGGGCTCTGAGGGGGGTTTATTCTGGGGCACAGCTCGGTGGGTCCCCAGGCTCAGGCAGGCCCTGGGGCTGTGGCTGTGGGGTCTCCTGTTCTTCCAGCTTATTTAACACTGTCCTGGATTCAGACTGCTAAGGAGCTTTCCCCACAGTAGGAACATGACTGAAGAGCTGTTCCCAGAGTTTTGCTGCTTTGGGCAACGTGTTTTCAGGCTCTTGTGTGTCAGTATTGTGCAAAAGCCCTAATAAAAGTGCTGTTGTGATGTGTTTGTCCTGACACCCTGGTCTGTTCCACAGTGCGTGCCTGGGGCAGGGGCAGCATTCCCACCAGGGCTCAGGGGTCTCTATCCCTGGCAGACCCTTAGTTTGGGGATATTGCTTCAAGCACATGTCCTGAGCTCATTCTGAAAGCATCCTCAGCCATTTCCTTCTGGGGTTCAAGAGGTGCTTGGGACATCTTTGTTCTTGACCACAGTCAGCTCCCTAGAGTGAGGTGATGATCTCAGCTCAGGTAGCTCAGGCTGGGTGAGGGGATGGGCTGGAGGGCAGAGACTGTCCTCCAGGCTGGGTGTGTGCTTAGTGCCTCTACACAGGGGGATTATTGGCTCCTTACCGTAAGGCTGTGGAGAAGGAAGGAATGTGTAGAGCTGCTTTTTGCTAACAGTTGAGCTTCAGAACAGCCTAACAGCATAAAGTTTGTTGTAGATTCTGATCTGTCTGATGTGGTGGAGGTTTTTGTTGGCGAGTGCTCCAGTGACCTGGTTTGACTGCAGGAGGAATGCCAACAGAACCAGTATGGACACTGAGAACAGCCTCTCCTCAGGAGCGAAGAGATCAGGCCTTGAGTCACGTTCTGTGGACACAGAGCTCAGGGCTCAGGCTGTGCTGTTACAAGTGCTTGGTCAGTG